GCCGCGACAGTTCGGCCAGTTCTGCTATATGGAGCAGAAACTTGGCCATTAAGAAAACAAGATAAAGACAGACTGTCGGTGTTTGAACAGCGCTGTCTACGCAGCATTGCACGAATCTGGTGGGGCAGCCGGATAAGCAATGCTGAGGTTAGGGACAGAGTTTTGGGTATCTGCGGTCGCCCACTGGAGCAAGTGATCGACCTCCATAGATTACGTTGGTTGTGGCATGTTTTACGCGTGTCACCAAATAGGTTACCACGGCGAGCGATGTTCGCCGAAGCAGATACCGAGTGGAAAAACGCCAAGGGTGGTCAAGTTAAGACCTGGCACGAGGGTATGAAAACCCTAACCAGGAAACTGAGCCGCTTAGGTCCTGTTAGGCTCCCTGGCTGGGGACCTCGGGATGATGGTCATCGATAGTTAGCTACACTGAGTGAAATGGCCGGGTGTCATAAACAGTGGCGTTTGTGCATCTTCTCAATTTCTTTGCAACCTTAGACCACTGAACTTCTCCATTTTCTTTTCGAATCCACTTTCAACTTTCCTTTCTTCTCCTATTCTTCATCCCAATGGGCAGCCAAAAGACAGCAACCAAAACCGGCGCACGAAAGTGAATGGTTAATGGTTGTTCAAACTGAAACTGAAATACCCGTGAGGTCCCAGGGTCGATCCCCAGTTGGGTCGATTAATTCGCACTGCTGCTGAGACCGAACCAGGTCGAAACAGCTGTCCAGTGCTTCAAAGCTTTTGTGGATAGTTCGATTGGTAGCGTAGCCATGTTCGGTATGTATTTTGCACCTTCACAGATTAACATGTTGCTATAAGACTGGCTTGACCCAACACCCAGCCTCACTAACTGAGAAAGTAATAGAGCAAGTGGACACGTTTTATCTAATCCGGTGGACGCATGACAGATGCAGTGTCAGCTCGCATACAGAAGGCCTGACTGACATTTGCCAACTTGTGACCCCTGGCATTGTCACGCCATCCGGGTGTCTGTGAAGGGTCAGGTGTATGCTACAGCAGTTATAAAAAAGCTATTAAACCTGAGTGTGATGAAAAGCAGACGAGGTAAACCCCATAGTCACG